CCGGGGATTGAACTCTGGTCCTTGCACTTGCAAGGCAGGCCACCGAACCGCTGAGCTAAATCCCCGGCCCGACAGGACAAGTTCTAATGGCCACTTGTTTTTATAAATAAAGTTTTATTAAGTCACAACTACGGTTTTATATGTTACAATATCAGAGCAGGGTATTTGAGAAAGATTCTCTGGCTGTAAAGCCTAAAACATTTTCTACCTGGCCCTTTATAAAAAAGTTTGACAACTCTTTTCTAGAGAATAAGACAAATAAGCCACCAATGACTACCCAAAGATCTATATGCTACGATGTTCAAATATACAATGAGAACATAAAAACCAGATATCTAGAGTAGGTTAAAGAGTTGGCAAAAACATTCCTAGAAGAAATTCTCAGCTAATTTTTTGTTCTTCCTTGTTTATTTCCTTCATGTCAATGTAATACACGTACACATTAATAAAGAATATAGAGTTTCTGGTGTGCTATTGCACAGCAGGTCACTACAGATAACAGAAATGTACACTACATTTTGAAAAGCTAGAAGAAAAAATGTTGAAGGCTTTTACCATAAAGCAATGATAAATATTTGAGAAGATGAATATGTTTAATGTGGTTTAAACATTACATAATGTACACATATATTAAAATATCATTTCACCATATCAGTATGTACACTTTTTGCATCTCTAAATATCAGCTAAAAATAAATTTACCTTTAAGATGTCGCTAAATACATTAAGCAGTGATTAATTCTTATGTAAAGTATACATAATTAAAATGCATAAAATATTTCTCTTCTTTCAGTCATTAAATTGATTAAACTACAAAAATTCTGATTTTTTAAAATCCACTGAACTAGAGTGGAAAACAGTTCTATTTGTTCATCATTTTCAGTTGAATTGATAAAATTATTAACAATACACTTCTTTAAATGAGAAACGGTTGCAGTACACTATACCTGGAAAATCCATTGGCAGTTCAAATGATTGTGGAGACTCACAACCTTCAATATTTTCACAAATTTCAGCTATGATCTTCTTAATTTTGAGGGCAGTGATTTTAATCACTTCTCCTGTTGAAAAACAGCATTCATTTCCAGACATTTCATAAATAGAACCTGAAAGGGGAAGAGGAAAGTAAAAATAATTTTTAAAACATAGTTAAGTGCTGCAGAAAAAAGTGGGAACGAAAGCCTCATATAAAGTAGTTTTACTCCATTCATCTCTTTGCTACCATCCAAAATGGAACTTAACCACACTTGGCAAAACACGTTCCAGGGTTCATTTTAGATTTTCACCTCATCCACTGGACAGAGTATAACCAGTTCTATTTTTGTATTATTATACATCGAATTTATGGTTTCTTCAGCACCTTCAGCTCATCTGTCCCTGCATCAAACTACAAATAGCTCTTCCACAGCTGGAATTTCTGATCTATTTTTGCTGGGTCACAGAAGCAGGCTCACAGTGATCTAATTAAGTATTGCAACAAGATTGTAACACTCTCCAAGCTCTAAAGATAGAGAGATCTGCACACCCAGTTTTATATTAGGAGCATAATTTTGCATATTAGGACCATTTTTTATTTTCATGAATATAAGGCTGTGTATATTTTTATCTGTTAGTTTCTAATAAGCTGGAAACAACTCTCAATAACTTTAAGGCAATAGGATAAATGAAAAAAATTTCACTTTAGATCAGTGCCCTTCCTAAGAAAGCTCTCTTCTTGCATTCTAAATTGACTTTGTATCCATCTATTTTTTTCTCCCCATTTCCCTCCCCAAGGGAAGAACAATGGACAGTGAAGAAAAGAGAAATGGAGCCACAGGAAAGAAAACAGGCACTGGCTCTGGACAAACTACTCCACCCAAAGGAAACAACCCCTCGCTGCTTCCCCTTCGTGCTATCACACTGCAATTGAGCAGTAAAATCAGGTGGATGTAAATAAACATCATGGAACTATAGACCTTAAAATATAATATTGATTTTCTTTACCTCCAAGATAGTTGATGATTTCCTTAGCACACTAAATCTAAAATGTGTGGGGACAACATTCTAGGTTGGTTGATTTCTGAATTTTTCTCCATTGAATGCTCCCCTACACTCCTGCCTGATGCAAAGTAAGAAACCCATAGTATTTTGGGCATTAGTAGTTCATTATAATTAAAAAGGTTATTAAGCCTGCCATCCAAGCTAGCTTTAAACAACTGCATTGTATTGGAACACATCACATTAAAGTAATAGAAGGAGGCTCAACCTGGGGGCAGTTTACACAGGGGCAATTAAAATAGAAGCACAGCCAACCCTAGGCAACCTACAAAACTACATGTCCCGACTGACCACATGCTCCTTCCAGTGTGCCCTACCAGCCAATTCCCACCAGAGGCCAAGGTCACAGGAGCTCTGCTGCCCCACAGAAGTCAGAGAGTAGAAATCAGGCAGAGTGGAAATGAAAATCAAGCGCTCAAACACTATCGCCCACTATGTAACAAAGAGTATTTTTGCAGACTAGCTAGTCTATTCTGTCTGGCTCTCCAACATGCAGCATACACATAATCTCCTTTTGCTCATATGACCCCCTTAACTATTTCAATTCTCGTGCTTTTTATTAACTCTGATACATAGCACTATCATCAGTCTCAGGTCCTTGTGGAACAAATTGAGGCATTAAAATAAATAATAAAAAACCCATGGTGACATTTTTCTCAAGTGATCTCAGAATAGTTATTTGGTATGATCCCCATTTTTTAATTCATCACATACTAACATTTTACATCTTCAGTATTATCTCACTCTGTATTTAACTTTTTATGAGCTTGGTTTTATTAGTGTCATTTCAGTTTCATGAGGAAAAATCTTGCATTAGATTTTTGCATTACTACAACACATCAACCTCCCTTCTTTCTTCAATCAGCAAACTTTAATATGAACCTTCTGTGTGTCAGGCATTGTGATGAACAGTAGGTACCAGAGGTAAAAAGTGTAACAGATTCCTCCCAGAAGGATAGATAAGTAGGCAGATCACTGCAAGAGTCTATGACAAAACTACAATATAGAAAATGTAGGACATGGTAGGGGGAAAACCAGAGACACTTAAGGAAGCAATTATATGGGAAAGAGATCCTCACAGGATTCTAAGACAAACCGAGGAAATAGTATTTGAAAAGGCACTGAGATGGGAAGGAGTCTGACACATTCTAAAGACTTCAAATAGTTTTATGTCTAAACTGTTAAGGCAGAAGATAAAGTGATAAGAAAAAAAAGGAGACGAGAGAAGTAGATAGAAGGAGCCCAGATGGTTCAGCCTTTATGAAATTATCAATAAACAAAAAGCCATTCAAATTCTCAAGCAGTCACAAAGTCAGAGAACATACGTTTCCAGTTATCAAGGTCAAGGACCAAATACCAGGTTAGTAAGAGGTCATTTGTTCTCTAAACATTCGCTGTCCAAAGTGTGGTTCATCGTGTCACTTGGGAGCTTGTTAGAATCCCGGCCAGACCCCACACCTGCTGAATCAGAATACATGTTCTTAACAAGATCCCCAGATGATTTGTAAGCACATTAAAGTTCGAAAAGCACTGGTCTAGGCAACAAATACATAAGCACCAGAGTCTGTTTTGAGAGAATTGCAAAACTAATCAAAGAGTGGAGGGCTTTCCAGGCCTTGGGTGCCCCTGAAGAAGATGGTGCTTTAAGGAAGAACAGGGAACGTGAAGGACTTCAAAAAGACAAGATGCACGCATGGCAAGATCTTTCTTTGTCACATGAAATAGAACATAATTTAACCTCGCCTATTTCAGGTACAGCCTCTGGGCTTAATTTCAATGCAATGAGTATCTAATTGCAGATGTAATATAAATCCAACTGCCTGTACTGCAGCGTGACCTTTCTTCCCAAGGTTCAAGTGGAATCGAAAGTGAAATGATAAATTCATGTGAAATTACGTATAAATTCATAGGGACCAGAAGCCAGAGAATTCAGTGAAGAGAAAATTCAAAGTTTTGGTCTCCACACAAAAAGCTTTTGACTCTTCAGGTCTTGTTCTAAGCATTTCTTTCCTTCCTTAAAAAAAAAAAAAATCATTTCTTCCAGTCATATAAGGAAAAGAAACTCACACAAATGCTAACGTTTAACATTTCTCTTTTCTGTTTTGTGACTTCCAGTTTTTGCTAACCTCAAAAGCTATTGGCTCATTTTGAATAAAGAGAATGTTCAGCAACATCCAGCACTAGAAAGTTATGCCTGTGATAGGTGACAAGGACATATGGCCAAGCTCAAGTCTTTGGAACTGAATAGACTTTTCTCTCTCCAATCTAATGTCCTTAAAACATATTCTTCCTCAGTTCTTATATGAAATGGTGAATTTTTAAAATAGCCAGCTTTCATAGTCTCAGAACAAGCACATATGTGTAATTGCTTTGTAAAATTTTGCTGAGCCATGTCTGAAATATGTTTGTGTATCTATATATCTATATATACATACATATTAAAATGGCTTTCATTTCAACCACAAGATATATATTTTGAATATTTGAGTCTCATGTCCATCAAATCCTTACAGACTGATTCTTTGCAAGAGGCAGAACATATGCATTCAGGAGAATGCCAAACATCAGAGAAAACTGGAACAAAGCAGCCTGTTTTCAGTGATCAAGCATTGCCCCTGAAGGCTGTAATGAAAGAGCCATGTGCCTTTGAAATCACCTTTTCTGTAATGCTACTTTGCTCAATAAAAATGACACATTAATATCCTTTTATGAGCTCACCTCTCATTTGACAATCCATATAAGTAATGCTGTGATCACATCGAAGCAGCCAAAACAATTGGTTCAGTAGATTTTTCTTCCATTTTCCCTCAAAGTTAAAAATGTGTGACAGCCAGGAGAGATAAAAATTAGAGTTTGGAGATTTTTCTCCTCTTTATGCAAATGGTACTCTGCTTCACCCCACACTGAGAAACTCATCCATTTTCCTCTTCATCCACCTGTCCAAAGCCAACCAACTCTAGAACTCCAGCTCATACTCATCTTCTTCAAAGCCTTCCTTGATCCCCACACCTATGTAAGGATTAATTGTGCCCTTGGTTCCCTAAAGCACTTTGTATTTATCTCCAACATAGTGCATATGTGGTTATTATCACAGCTGCTACTATTGTATTATTTTCTGACCACTGATACTGTATATATTTTGGAATTTGCTGTAAATTCCTATTTTAACTGTATTTAAATCCCTTAATCCACACGCATAGCTAGGTCCATAGTTTTTGTCCACGGTGAATGGTGAGTTATTACTTAGCTCTGCTGTGAAATGACAATAAGATGTTGGGAAAATAATAATGATCATCATACATCAGCAGGTTAGAGCATATTCAACTTCAGATTTTGGCATGGTTCAGTTGGTATGTTTAAGAATTTGTGAGATTAGCTGTATAATCTCCAGATAAGAAATCCTAAAGGTAGGATATTCAATAATATAATTTCTACTTATTGATTTTGCCAATTTACTGCCAATTTTACATTGCTATAGTTGACGCAGAAGTTCGTGTGACGCTGTGAGGTAGACGTGAAGGAGTTAGGAGATTCCAGCTACAGAGTATAATCCACAACATGTAAACAGTCTCCCCAGGTGGGGTCTGGGACAGCCAGCCTCCTCCTTCCTTAAGGAAAGCACATATTACCAAGGAGAATTCCCAAAGAGAAAGCCTTTAAGTGTGAAATTATTGTACTAGAATCATTTGCCTTGACTAGGTGGTTGATAAGGCATTAAGACACCATTACAGAGTCCACAGCTTCCTCTAGATAGTTCACCATATGAATGACACTTCAAAGGGATGGTGGTCATAATCGACATTTACTTTGATTCCTAGTACCGAAAAAGAAAACAAAACAAAACTAACAAACAAACAGACAGACATTTACATGGCCAGTCTTCCATAAAGATTCTGTTTCCATCCCCTGGAAGGTAAGCCAAAGTCTTTCTCAATGTTTGAAGAGTATTTTTTTAAAACTAATATGATACTGGATGCAGCATATGAATAAGTAGGCATGAAACCCTTAGTACCTTTACTAGGGATGGATTTTGAGAAGTATATCTGAACATTCATCAGAAATGGTCTAT